GAAATGCTTATATTCATTATAATTCAACAGTTTGTACCAAAAAATAAAAACAATTTAAGAGAAATTCAACCAATCAATTCATAATTATCTGAATAAAGTATGCTTTATTTTTATGAGGAAATGATGCATAAAACATTTTATAAAGAAATAATGTTACGGTAATTTAGCACCAGGAATGCTAAAAATAAATATTGCCCATATTTCAAATATCCTCCCCTAATGTTATGCAAGTAATATTAAAGACTTTAGAAAATATTTTTTCTGTTGCATTTAGCATTGCAGAAATTTTATATATTTTCTTTTCCATCTTTCTACATCTCAATTGATGTCCAATTTCTGTCTGAAGCTGAACATTTAGAAGATAGAGAAAACGTGTTTTAAAGCCTCCTAAGAGCAAAACATAATGATTACTTGAAATTCCCATGGACCTACATCATTGTAAATATACATATAATTATTTTGGAAGTGTAATAGAAAAGAATATTTGTGACATCATCAGTGTTTTTTTACTACATACTTATAAGGGAATGGTATCTTTAGATAGCTTTTCTTGGTGCCTAGTTCTCAATATCAACATGGCAGATTTTATTGTCTTATAACTTAAAGTATCTTGCATCAACATTCTATCCTTTTTTGTGGTGAATAAGGTTTTTTTGGATGGGTGAGTGGGTGGGCAGAATCTATATGGGAAAAATATACTTAGACCTCTAGCCATATAGGACTTTAATGGTAGCAGTTATAACCTTGAATTGCAGTTAGAAACAGCAATAGTGTAATATGGCACTATCACAAGCTATCAGTAAGTGCACAGTCTATTGCCCTTTATAGCAGCAGAAATTTCTGGGTGGCCTTCAAGCATAAACTAAACAATGTATCACAAAAAGCATGAGTGATGGTCCCCAGTAGATCCTGTTTTAGGGAGAGCCACAATTAGTATACCAGCAGAAGCTGAGCAAAAACCTCTTTAGGCATAGCGGGCATCTTTTCCACCTTTTACCACATGAGCTTTGACTTCCCAATAGCCCTCTTCTCGATGGTTAGCCCATTTTCTTGGGGGTAGCATACAATGTAGGTATAATCTTAGAATCAATAATTATTCCTGCCTGCTTGGGTTGTTGTTTAAGACTAGTCTTCCCATTCAAATTCTGATATTTTTCCAGGATTAGGGTGAGATTAGCTTCTCACTGAGTGAGTACTTTTTTGCATCTCCGTTAGAATCGAACTCTGAAGCATCCCATAAAAAAGAGAGCAACATCTTCATCCTTGCCACCACTGACTGAAATTGCCTGCTCTTTGTGCTCTTTTTTGCACAATTAGATCCAAAATTTATGTAGCTATTAACTGATGAAAGACTTGATGCTCTAGCCCAGTGGTGGCGAAACTATGGCACGGGTTCCAGAGGCGGCACTCAGAGTCCTCTCTGTGGGCACGCGTGCCATCGCCCCAGAACTAGGTCTTCAGCTGGGTTTTATAAAACCTTTTCGCTTTAGGCTTCTGCCGCCGTGTACAAAAAAAAGAGGTTCAATCAATCAATTTCAACTTCTCGTGGAAAAAAAAGATGTTGGAATTGATTGATTGAACTTTTTAGTCCCACCCAGTCTGCTTTTACCACCGCAGCCACGCCCACCCAGTGGGCCACACCCACCCGGCACCCGACGATGCATAAGTGGGTTTTGGGTTGCAGTTTGGGCACTCGGTCTCTAAAAGGTTCGCCATCACTGCTGTAGCCTAATTTTAGTTGTATGTGGATGAGGCTTCATCTTGTCCTAAACTTCAAAGTTCCCCAGAGAACCTCCCATTCTGTAATGGAATTTTTTTAAAAATGTAGCAAGGATATTATGTTATGCTTATTGGTGTGTGGAGGAAAGCTGAGCAACAATATTCTACTTTTTCTGAAATGAATGCTATTTTAGTTGTTTGAACTAAAATGATTCACAGAAATAGTAAATCTCTGTTTTCAGTGGAGAGCATTGTCACATCACTGTTGGCAATCCCTTAAAATATTTTTGATAGTCAATCAGTCCATCCTTCACCTATCTCACAAAAAAGTGACTGGGCAGCATACAACAAAATTATAAAACAATAATATATATTAAAATTTACTATCTGAAAATTTTTAAAGCTGTTATTAAAAGCTAAGGGAAGACAGTAAATATTAAAAGCAACCTCAGTAACTAATTGGCTCCCCAATTCTCTGTGTTAAGATTTAATATTCAAGAATTTTAAAATAAGCACCAGATTGAAATAATATCATTTTCTATTTAAAAAGTAGAATACTGTCTCCATATTTTAAACCACTAACCTCAAAAAACAGTAATGCTGTTATTAAAAAAGTTGGGCTAAAAATTGATACACTCTGGAATGGAACAGCAGAACCAGATTGCCATAAGTTTGTTACACATTAAATAACATTTAAATTGAAAAACTTACTAAGTTTGAAAGCATTATCAAAGAAAAATGAAAAGGATTTAAACAAGTTTTTCACTTAAATGTCAAAAAAAACTTGTTAATGGGGATACATACCATCCAATAAAACCTATTGTTTTACAGCCAAGTAAAGCAGTTCTGTACTTAAGTTGAAAATTCAGCACCTTTTCCGTTGATGTGTACAGAATTGTGTATATGTATATCCCATACACAATCCTAGATGTAATGAATAATCAGAGTTGGGGGAGGTGATTTTATTTTGTATGTACTCAAGACCTGCACCATTAATTGTTCTCCTGTCTCTTTGAAAGCATCATTCTTCTTTTAAACACAACTCTTAACATGGTGGTAATGTTATTAATACAGTTTCGATACCAAATAAATATTTTTGATAATACATTTACATCTTAGAGAGGGATGTAGTCTGGAACATGCTTCAGGATAGCTAGACCTCTCTAACTGATCACCAGATGCTAAGCTAAGTGACCTTGTGTTTCTTAATTGGCAGGGGAAGTCATTTCCCTTTGTTCAGCTTTGCTGCTATACCACTGGTTGAGGGGAGGAAAAGAAGATTGTGGCAGCAAATACCAATTGAAGGCAGTAACTGCTTCATCACTCTTGTAGAGAGTAAGGAAGGATGATCTTGGAGGAGGTATGCAAGAGCCATTGCCTAGGCAAAAAGGGGCTGACACATTTTATAAGCCTAGAATAGCAGGATAATATTCAAAAGTAGTTCAGGTAGATGCCTGTCTAATTCACTGAACTATAAGAAGGGGAGGAGGCACAGCATAATCAGACTTGATGGAGTCTCTTATTATAACTAATCTTAATAAGAGTAGTTTCAGCCTTACTGTGGAGTTGTCTATCCAGTAGGGCTGACAACTGTAGAGTGTCTTGGTTGGTTGGGATAGATTTGTTTCTTTCTATATACAGTTTTGCTAGAACTCAGTGCATATATGAAACACATCTGGCTCAATCCAGATAAAAGTATGTGGAAGATGACAGCTTGAAAGATTGGTTGAAAAATGACAAGTAGATGGGAGTGTTTCCATCTAATCTTTGGAGATTCTCCTGCCTCTTTAGCCGCAATTTGCGGCACTCAGCAAAACTTCCTACTTTTGGGAGTGGCTTTTTGGGCTAGGGAATTGGGAGAGAAGTTGGTAGAAGACACCCATATGTTGCTTGCCTATCTCTTTTCAACTCATTACAGTAAAATCTTGATTTTTTTTCAGACCTCAATGCAATGGACTTTGCATCGAATGAATCAATTTTCTGATTGATTACAGGTGGCCCTCATTTAACAACCACTCACTCAGTGACCATTTGAATTTATGACTGCACTGAATGAGTGGTAGTTATGATTGGAGCTCAGACTTAACACGGTTGCAGCATCACCACAATCACATGATTATCATTTGCAATCTTCCCTGCTGGTTTCAGTCAAGCAAAGTCAAGGGGGAAGCCAGCAAGAAGTTGGAAGTCACAGTCACATGAGGTCCTTGCTTAACAACCTGCACAATTCCCCCTTTAATATTGGCAACTGGGACTGCTGGAACTGCTATTGCTAAGCACAGTCACAAGATTTTTTGGCTTAATGATGGAGTTTCTGGTCCCAATTAGCATCATTAAACGAAGACTACCTGTCATTTCATTTGTGTAGTGGTGTCACAAAACAAACAGCACAATTTATATTATTTGTGTAATTATATAACGCAAATCACTTTGAGTTGTTCTGAAATGTATTGATACTGTAGTTATCAATTGTTAATAGTTCAGTAATTCTGAAATTTGTTAATACATTTTGACTTATCATCACAATTGGGACCAAAATTTCAAACACTAGTCATTGTGGTTATAAATTGAGAGGACTGATTTTGCAATAATTTGCATGGTGGTTGTTAAATGAAACACTGCAGTTGTTAAGCAAATTCATCTTCCCCAATATCTTTTGTCGGAAATTGGCAAAAAGTTTGCAGATCACAATCATGTGACCTTAGGATGCTGCAACTGGTCAAAAAGTGCAAGGCAGTTGCCAAGTGCAAATTGCAATTATATGACCACAGGGATGGTGCAATGGTCATAAGTGCAAATACAGGTTACTTTTTCCAAGGCCATCATAACTTTGAACCATTGCTTAAATAGTGGTCATAAGCCCAAGGACTATACGTAACTGAACCTTCTTCAGATAGTCCTTTAAAATAAGATTTCATTTTTTCTTTTAAATACAGATTTGTTTTAAGATAAATGGCATTTCAGTCAGACTCTAGCCGCATGAGAATTGTCTGCTGTGATAGGATTGAAAAGAGGAAAGTTTATGGAGAAAAGAACAGTTATTAGCAAACATAGGATTCATAATCACATTGAGTGCATGTTTCACTGCATCCCATCCACTTTTTTTAAAAAAAAAAAATACGTACACATACTTGTGGGCATGCAGTTTAACTCATTTTGTCTTTGTTTGTTTTAAGCAAAACTTAGATAAATATCTCTCTGTCCGTTTTTATGTTTAATGTGAAGATAGATTATAGCTGAAATAAGAAAACTATACTGAACTGTTGTGCTGTCATTTCTAGGAGGAGAGACGTCAGCATGCAAACCTTCATCTGTTCGGCTCGCACCATCATTTTCATTCCATGCTGCTGGCCTTCAGATGGCTGGACAGATGTCCCATTCACATCAGCAGTACGGTGATCGTCGACAGCAGAACATAAGCGACCAACAAGTTTCTGCCTTACCATATGCTGATCAGATTCAGCAGCCTCCTACTAACCAGGTACGTTGACTTAAACACTTGTAGTAAAGATAGCATTTTACTTAAAATAGAGCACATTCTTCTATTAACAATTCTGTATAATTCAACTCATATTTTGCTGCTAAGCATTTGGAGATATTGGTTTGAAGTAACATACAAATCCTGCAATAAGTATATTTCATTTTCTGCAGGGAAGAATATATATTTTTTATTTATTTTGCCATGAATCCATTGTGATTGCAGTGGACTGCACAATTTTTTTTTTGCAATATATAATTGCAAGGCTGTGTCATATTTACTTGTAATATTTTGCCAAAGGGGCTGCTTAACAAAAGTAGTGTATTCAAGATTTAACTTTTATTCATTTTTCTGTTTCAGTCATAACCTGAAAACACAAGTGTAAAGGTACCTAATATAAAGGATCTGTAAAGCCAGTTTATATTTGGATATAAATAAAACTTCCTTAAACACTTAGACACCTCATTATAGGAAAATATGTTCATTATATTTGCTTTGTATTAAAAGTGCATAAAAGATTTGTGAATATAAGTAGACATGGAGTCTATCAGCTGGCAACTGGTGTTATCTTAAATATTTCTATTGGGGTTCTGTGGGACACTTAGGATCACATCCTGATTTTATGTTTGCATAGTTTTGTTCTTAATTATTTTCTTTGTTGAACTTCTTAATTCCTTTCTGTTAGATAGCAAATCTAAATTAGATACAGGTACTCCTCAACTTATAACCATTTGTTTAGTGACCACTTGAAGTAACAACACCACTAAAAAGGGGGACTTATAATCGTTTTTCACATGATCGTTGCAGCATTCCCAGGCTCACATGATAAAAATTTGGATACTAGGCAACTGGCATGTATTTATGATGTTGCAGTGTCCCAGGGTCATGTGATCATCTTTTGCAACCTCCTGACAAGCAAAGTCAACGGGAAAGCCAGATTGACTTAACAATCATGTTATTAACTTAACAACTGCAGTAATTCGCATGGCAACTCTGGCAAGGTTGTAAAATGGGGCAAAATTCACTTAACAACTCTCTTAGCAGCAGAAATTTTGGGCTTAATTGTGGCCGCAAGTCAAGGACTACCTGTAGTTTCCACAGTTTCAGCATATGAATTTTTTATTCTCTTTATATTATCTAACAGATGCCATTGTTACTATTATTTCATTAGTATTAAGTGTACTGTTATTCCTATACTGTACTTCCTATTTTGTTTTGATTATTGTCACTTAAAAAAATGGGGGTGGGAATCATTGATCCACATGTGTGGATTTGTTCAGTATTTTATACTGTGCGGATATATAAAACAATTTATCAACTTCTCTAATATCTTCATGTCTAATGTTGTTATTACTTGCTTATCACTCAGCAAGGGAACATCCATTAGATCAGAGGTCCCCAATCATTTTGGCACCAGGGACCGGTTTCATGGGAGACAACAATTTTTTCATGGACCGGTGGGGGGGGAAGGGAAGGTTTCAGGATGATTTAAGCGCATTACATTTATTGTAAATTTTCTAAATAAACAAACAAACAATGTGTTTTATTTCTATTATTGTATTAGATTAGACCACTTCTAAGAAAGTGGGAAAGAAAAGAGACAATCCTAAACTTAGCCTTCCACCAAAGCAAACTAAAGAACCAACACACTGAGGAAGTGCTGAAAAAAACCATTAAAAAGAGACAGAGAGAGAGAGAGAGAGACCAAACCAACTCAGCACTGCGCAAGCCCAGCAGCCTTGGAAAAAGTGCAAATGAGAGAGGGATCCCCTTGGAGACACAGTGCTTAAGGGGAAATGTAGCTTCTCCCCTTCCCATTGTAAGCCGGGTAGGAGTGCACTTGGCTTGCAAACTTGGAGAGCTTCACAAAGAAAGGAGAAACACACACGCGCGCACACACACACACAAATACACCAAATTAAACCTCGAAAAGTAGGCAGGATGTTGCCCAAACACGAGGCACCTGGAGCATCAAAATAAAAGCAAAAAAACTCCAGTTGAAGTGCAGCGGAGCCCAGCGGTCTTAGAAAAGGGGCACACGAGAGAAAGAATCCTTTGGAGACGCAGTGCTATTTGCACCCTGAGAAAGACACCCACCCACCCACACATGCCTTGGGGAGAGGAGCCTCCTCCGAGGCTTTGGGGGAGCCCCCAGTTGCAATCTGGACTGGCGCACGTTTGTCTTTTAAACTTGGAGGGTTGCACGAAGGGAGAGCGAGTCCAGCTGGGATGCTGGGGGAGGGGGAGGAAAGTGAGGAAGAAGAGAAGGAGGAAGAAGAAGTAGCAGGAGGAGGAAGAGGGAACAGGACCAGGAAGAGGAGGAGGCAGAAGAAGAGGTAGCAGAAGAAGCAGGAAGAGGGCGAGGAGGAAGGACACAGAGCTCAGATGTTATAAACCAGTTGCAAGTGCAGCCGTCAGAGGACCTTGCACTTACCAAGACAGCTTCTGCTCTGCCACTCTCCCGCCCCTGCCCAGACCCCTGCAGCCTTGCCGCATTCCTGGAGGTAGAAGACATGTTTTCAGCACACCTGCAGCTGCATGGCCAGTTCCTAAGTGGCTGCGGCCCAGTACCGGACCGGGAATTGGGGACCCTTGCATTAGATCAATCAGCCACTATCACCTGCAATGTTGTCTTCTGTTTTAAATAAATTGTATCACTGAGATATTACTGTGAAGAAACTACTACTGAAAACAACAGAGACTCTTGATGAATTCTTTAGTTTAAAGTAGCTGAGTGAGCAAAGCTGTGAACATTTATAAATGTGTCTTGATTCAATAGAAGACTATTGATCAGAAGGAATATTATAAAAATAGTTTTTTTAATGCTACAGCTCCACCTGGTGGTCAGATGAAAATCCATTCACAGATCATATTTACTATTACAGGAAATTAAAATACTAAATTTGATATAATTCACTCTCTGATTATTTAATATAAAAATGTAAAGGAAATGATGTGTACTATATTTGCAAATGTTGTCATAGTAGAATAATCTGAAATTAGGTTCATAATTCAAGTAAAAAGTGAAATTCGGTCTTTTTATCACAAGTATGTAAGGTCTGTTAAGAACTCACATTGGCTTATACATTAATATAAAAGAAAGTTTGATCTGGTCAGTTAAAATCATATTAAAATCAGTATTGTTAAAATCAATTAACAGCTAAAAAGTTAGCAAATAGATTCATCTTGTCACTTCCTTAAATACTAAGAGAATGGAGGCCAAACATATCTTAATGAGTACATGCTATAGCCTATGCACCACCTTAGGAGTAGTTCATCTCTTGTTTATTAAGTACCAAAGTATTGGCAGTAGAGGCATTTTAAAATGCACTTTTTTCTGATCTGGGTAGCTAGATAGGTTATAGTGAGGAATGTACTTCAGATTTGTTTAAGATTTTAAAATTAACACCAGAATCTATCTTTATTTATTCAGTTTATATTGCCACCACTCCCACATCCATGTCTAAAGGTATATTACCAATAGGTAAAACCAGTGGTGGGATTCAAATATGTGAACAACTGGTTCTCTGTGTGGATGCCGCTTCTGGAAGTCCATTCTGGGCCTGG